TTCGTCGCAGACTCTCCTCCAGCAATCGCCGTTGCTTGGAACGATCGACTAGACGGACGGCGCATCGATCACCACCTTCCGCCGCCGCCATTCTCCATGGCGTTGTGTGGTATATGCCCCGCTACCCATAAGACAACATATGGGCCACATCGCCGAGGTGGCCCAAACCATAAGATCAAGCCGTGCAAAGATGGCGGTCGGCGCACACATAAGATATGGGTATGGTACCAAATATGATACTTTTTCTTGTAACCCTACCCCTCCAGAGTATATAAGGAGAGGCAGGGTCCCCTAGTGGACATCGGCATAGATCTCATATTCAATACAATACACCAAAGACACATAACGAGGGTATTACGTCGATCGATGGTCCTAACTCGTCTAAATTGCGTCTACTCGCGCCATGTGTCATCATCTCGTTTCCCGACACGCTGCACCCTCCAACGACAAATCTACCATCGTGGATACCCCCTGAGGACTCTGCCGGCATCTTTTGTCGACGCTGACGCCCACCGTTGGGGCTCGTAAGGCACGATCAATCATGGCGAACCGGATGGCGAAACTCAAGATCAACATCCTTCGCGGCCTTCGGCTAATCACGTTGACATCCTTTGACAACCACGCCGCACGCTTTCAGATGTGGATTGACACCGCCAAGCTCCCAGACCACGTCCCGTCCCTACTCCAACACGGATCAACTCCATTCTAGCCCGCCAAGCGAGCTCAGCGAAGCGAGCCGCACAAGCCCCAGAGATAACACCATACGCCACCGACCGCACATTTTGTCTAAAAACTAAGTCACCCTTTAATATTCTTCTAAATATTCTCCAATATTCAGATATCGCCATAATATTTCTCCGAGTTGTTTCTCTATGTTTGCTCTCCAAACAATTTTCTTTCATATATACCATCTTAAGGATGACATACAACTAAGTCTAAGGCAAATCCTCAAACAGTCATGTTGACGCCGATGTCCCCAGAGACGGCCCCATCTCCGCTCCTCTCTCTACACGCGCACGAAGCCGCCCCGCCTCTGCGTTATGGGTGGTGCAGTGGCTCCTTAGCGACGCTTTGTTCTTCCTACACGCACCACGGGCTCCGCGTTATGGTTAACAGCTAGATAGGGCTAGAGACTGACTACACACTAATCGGTCGGCGGTTTGTGTTAAATATAAATATATCTTCACACCAATTGATGGCCGAGTCAAGATACGCTATTTCATCACCATTGCTGATTCTTCTTTGAGTTCATATATTTTTATATCATGTACTACCCGTTTCTACATATTTGTATTGCGGGATCATCGCTCTAGGTGATCGGACCACCGGTGCTCTGGACTTCTCCACCGATCAACCCGGTTTGGACCATTAGGTTCATGGATTTCATCACCGACCCGAGAGATCGGATCGTTCGTCGGGTCGCTTCTACTCAATACTCACTTCGTCATGCCACCCGGGCTTGACCGGATCGTTCATATCCTTCGCTTCAATCGCCATCTACGCCGAGGACTCCCTCATTGCCGGATATCGCCACCACGCCAAGACTCTTTCTTTGCTTTCGGACATCGCCAAATGCGCGCGGAGACTCCTCGTTGCTCGGACATCGCCATGGCTACGCTGGGACTCCTCGATGCTTTCGATTCTTCATGCAAGCGTTGCCGCTACTAACCTAGGGACTCTCGGTGCTTCCGGACATCGCCACCACATCGGGACTCCTTGGTGCTTTCGACACGCCGCCAGCGGCCGGGACTCTCGGTGCTTTCGAACGTCGCCACCGCGGCCGGAGACTCCTCGGTGCTCGGACATCGCTAGTTCCGCCGAGACTCCTCGGTGCTCACACATCGCCACTATATCGTGGACTCTCGGTGCACGAACATCGCCAACTTTACGCCGAGGACTCCTCGGTGCTCGGATTCTTCGTGCAAGCGTCGCCAGCTAACCTGGGACTCCCTTGGTGATCAAATCTTGCTATGTCTCATCGATGTGCTATCAAGCTGCTCCATACTGTTCAGATCAGGGTGCTGATCTTGGGCAACATGTCTGGGGTCTTGATAGCGCATGTCAGATGGCATCGACAAGCTTTCAGACTTCTTTTTCTTTGACCCTGCTACAAGATTCATTATTTATCTTCCAAAGAGTTACGGGACTAAGTGTACACACTTCACCTTGGGGCACACTTCACCTTGCGGTGAATGTGCGCTTTTCAATTGTGGCTCGCCTGCCGGATCGGCTGTCTGCTCGGCCGGGTCTTCGTCTTTCTTCTACTTTTCTGACCACGGCACCACGTGACTACGCCACCTACCGTCGAGCTCTGGGGACTAGTCAGTGGGGTATGGCCCCCAGATCCACAAAGACAAGACATGGGTCACATCATCAAAGGTGTGGCTCCACCCCACAAGATCAAGGCGTGCTGTGCATCGTCGATGTGCACCGCAAGATATTGTATAGTACCAAATAGGATATTTTTCTTATAACCCTACCCCTCTAGAGTATATAAGTAGAGGCAGGGGTCCCCTAGTGGACATCGACATAGATCTCATATTCAATACAATACACCAAATACACAGAGTGTAGAGTATTACGTCGATTAGACGGCCCGAACCTGTCTAAATCATGTCTTCACGCCTTTGTGTCACCATCCGGCTTCGACGATTACGCACCTCTACCGACAAATCTATCTTCGTGGGATACCCTCGAGGACTCGCGAAAGCATCTTTTGTCGACGCTGCAGGTCGCTGACGCCACCCAAATCCGTGGTGAGGCGACCCGCCACGCCAGCGTTCCAGTCCTGCCACAGTCACTGCCACATCATCGCTTCCTACACGTGCCCTATGCATGGCGCGGCAACTTGATTTCCGCCGCACCATGCAAATAGAAGGGACCAAAAGTGTTAGATTTGAAAAAAAATTAAACAATGTCAGATTTTAAAATAGTTTAAAAAGTGTTAAAATAAAAAAATTTCTCAAGGGCACCTTTTACTCGTGTTCTCCACAAATGTTTTTAGGAAAAAGGTGAAAAGAATGTGAGAAATTCACGTCAAACCATGTGAGCTTTGATTTATGCCTTTTTTCTTTATTACATGTAAAAAGGAAAACCCTTTTTCATAAAGTTTGGCGTTGCTGGACGACGCGAACTAGCTAAAAAGCAAGTGCAACTACACGATCTAAAATCTAAGTGCACGTGTCTGGCTGTAATTGGTCCAATTGAAAGGTCTCCATCTTACATTGATGTAACTACGGCTGTCTTTTCCATATGTATTATACAAGATCGGTATCGATCGTCCATCATCGTAGATAGATAATATAGCGGGCTTGCTGACGCCCGGACGAGTCGTCTAGACGCACGTGCCTGCGAATCATTTCTCACGCCGTTTCGCGCGCCCACACGTGGCCCATGTCACTCCGAACGCCACCAGCATCGAAAAATGAAGGGATGGGTTCATAGACGCCCAACTAGCGCCGAGAGGAGGAGGAGACACCGAGGCGAGACAGCAGAAAACGAGGAGAGAGATGCAACACCCGATCTATTTTTGAAACATTAAGATGCAACACTTGCAACATATGTCTGAAGACATATGAAACACTTAAAACATGCATATGAAACACTTGAAAAAAACACCTGAAAACCATTTGTAAAACATACGCAACGTTCATATAAAAAACTTGCAACATATGTGTGAAACATATGCAACATCCAAATAAATATACTTGCAACATACGTCTGAAAAAACAGATAAAAAATTGGGAACAGAAGCTTGCAATATACGTGTACAATCATTGCAACATATGCGACATCTCGATCTAGTTTTGCAACATCCGCGTAAAACATTATAACGTACCTCTGAAACATCCGCGTGAAACACTTAGCAACAAAACACACGTCTTGTTGTCATAGACAACAAACTTTATAGATTTAATGAAAATCATATTTCATTTAAAAACAGTTTTGCTTTTTTTTAGAAAAAAAACATACCAAGTTGTTTCGTAAATAACACACACACAAAAAGACACATACTATGGATTAGTTTTTCACTATTCCATATGAACTAAAAGTGATCCTTTACTTGTAGTTAAATGCGTTGCAAATTAACTTGTTAGCGGTGGGAAAAATCGCAATTGCCTGCATATAAGTACGTAATTGCTTCAAAATTCACGGCGGCAATTCAAACTCCAGACAAAGTTGCCTATCTAAGCTTATTAATATACTCCATTCATTTTAAGTTGTAAGTTGTTTTGACTTTTCTACGTATATAGCTTTTACTATACATCTAGTCATGCAATTCTATACCACCCCTGTTCCAAACTATAGGTCGTTTTGATTTTTATAGGCACATAGTTTTTTCTATGCACCTAGATTTATGATGTGTCTAGATAATATATAATAAAATTTGTGTATTTAGAAATGTCAAAATGACCTATAAATTGCAACGAATGTGCACGTACTAATAATTCCCATTTCAACGTTGTATAAAGTTGTATATAATATATCTAAAAAACCATAATTTACAATTTGAAATGATACATAAGCATGGGCAAAAATTGAAAAATGTGTCTCCAATAGTGCAAACAAATGTGCACGTACTAATAATTCCCATTTCAACGTTGGACCATGAACAGATCTGAAATATTGTGCCCATGTTCAAGTGTCTCCGTTCTCCTGTGGGAAAGTAAATCGTGGCCGTCCACGTGGACACACAGCACAGATGTCTCTCGACCAGTACAGGCTGTTCCTGTTCTTCGCTTTGGTAACAAATCCCTGAAAATTGATCGATAATATAAAATAAAATAATGTGCATCCCGTACATTCGCTTGGACCTGCCTGCTAAATGCTTTGCTAATGCTATCCATCCTTCCTCCGTCTATAAAGTGGCCGCCAGAATCCTCTTCTTCTACAATCGCAGCAGCCTCCTCTCCTCTCCTCCCTGCCTGGTTCTTGCTTGCAGTTCTTGAACCGAATCCACCGCCGGTGCGCTTAGCATTGGGACTAGGGGGCCGATCGACATGGCGGCCTTAGGGGCGAAGATGGAGCGGCTGTCGTCGATCGACGCGCAGCTGCGGATGCTGGTGCCGGGGAAGGTGTCGGAGGACGATAAGCTCATCGAATACGACGCGCTCCTCCTCGACCGCTTCCTCGACATCCTCCAGGACCTCCACGGCGACGACCTCAAGGAGATGGTACCTCTCTTGCTACTTTCTTGTCCCAACTATGCTCTTGTTGTTCTTTAGTTTTACTGGTTCGGGCTTGCGATGCAGCTTTCATCTTGGGTTGGATCCAAGTAATCTAGTTCTGTCCTGTGTCCTGTACCTCTTATTTTTATCTTTATTTAATCTTCCATATATTTTTTACTTTTTCGTGTTTTTTCCTGAGAAAAAAACAGTGAACAGGTATCAATATTTAGTTAAAAAAAGGCATGAAATTAATGCCTTCTTTGTTCTTTTGTTTTCTTTTCATACGATTCTTTTACAGCACACCTTGAGAAGTATTGGAGTGTGGTTGACTTCAGAGTCCACACTTCAGATTAAGTGATTAACACTTCAGGTTTAAGTTTAACTACAAGGTGGTCGATTTGCTGCTTAATTTGGTGTTGTCAACTATAGTATTTTACACTAAAATATACTCCTAAATCATAGTGGATGACCAGGTGCTGGATTGACGTTCCTAGTGTTCATCTTTTTTTTTTTTTTTGTTATTGCTCAAAGATTGGTTTCTTTTTTCAGTGGTAAACGAGACTGACCATCTCGATTTTCGATTGATTGGTCGGATATGGTTCGAATTTTGATCTCAATCATTACGGTAGAAACATGACTTCATATGTGGAAAATTCATCTGTAACAAGTGTGGATCTTTAGTTGTTATATAATCCTGGTCCATTAACTGACTTTGGACCGATTGATTGAAACAATGAAACCTGCATGTTCCACGTCATCTTTTGACTTCTTGACTTTTCCTTTTGGATGGCAACATATAGTTGACAAACAAACTGTATCTCCAGCAACTTAACTTTACAGCTGATTGCAGTTCATAACACGTGAACCCCTGTCATCTTTCTAGCACCTTCCCTGACAGAACATGGACACCTAGAACGCGTGACAACTAATAGACAAACTATGAAAATTTTTGGATCAAAATAAAGCCTCCGTTGAAGTGGGCATATTAAGGCTAAGTTCTTGCATTATTCAGAAAAGTGTGACTTACCATATTAATTTTTTTTGACATGGCCAGTTGGCAGCAATACTTTAGCATATGTAAATTTATTTGGAATTGATATGTGGATTGAGTATGGCAATAACAAAATCCAGAAACCGACATATCTTCTTTCTCTCTTTTTTAACCATGTATGGTCATTAATTGAGTCCTCTTGCTGATTAGGTTCAAGAATGCTATGAGGTAGCTGCTGAGTATGAAACAAAACATGACATGCAAAAGCTTGATGAACTCGGGAAGATGCTAACAAGCTTGGACCCTGGGGACTCTATTGTGATCGCCAAGTCTTTCTCGCACATGCTTAACTTGGCCAACTTGGCTGAGGAAGTCCAGATAGCATACAGGAGGAGAATCAAGCTCAAGAAGGGAGACTTTGCTGATGAGAACTCGGCAATCACGGAATCTGACATTGAGGAAACACTTAAGAGGCTTGTTGTTGACCTGAAGAAGTCACCTGCTGAGGTATTTGATGCCCTCAAGAGCCAGACTGTTGATCTGGTCTTGACTGCACATCCAACACAGTCTGTGAGGAGGTCACTGCTCCAGAAACACTCGAGGTTAGTTTGCCAAATGGTGCATTGTAGTTGACATGCACAACTTCGTTTTTAGCCTTTAATCTTGATCCCAACATTCTTATCAGGATACGCAACTGTTTGGTTCAACTCTACTCAAAAGATATCACTCCAGATGATAAGCAGGAACTTGATGAAGCTCTGCAGAGAGAGGTACTTATTTCAATCTAATGTTTATTACTGTCGACTCATGGAATTCTCTGAAGCTTGAGACCAAAGGGATTGGTTCTTAATTTGTTACCTGAACTCCTCCCTCTTTCTTTTTCAAGATCCAAGCTGCCTTTAGAACTGATGAGATCCGAAGAACGCAGCCCACTCCCCAAGATGAAATGCGTGCTGGTATGAGCTACTTCCATGAAACAATTTGGAAGGGTGTTCCAAAGTTCTTGCGCCGGGTTGATACTGCATTGAAGAACATTGGGATTAACGAGCGTGTTCCTTACAATGCACCTCTTATTCAGTTCTCTTCTTGGATGGGAGGAGATCGTGATGGTGAGTGACATCTCTACATATTTGTCTTGTCTTCTCATGGCATTATTAAATATGGAGTATTTGCAGCACCTATTATTATGTTTGTTGCTAGTGGTTGGGAAGATGACTATTCATTGTCCCTATGTCTGCAGTCTGCACCTCTGTCCTTTGTATTCTAAAGCAATGTTTCTACAAATGCAGGAAATCCAAGAGTGACACCAGAGGTTACCAGGGATGTCTGCTTGCTTGCCAGGATGATGGCATCAAACTTGTACTGCTCTCAGATTGAGGATCTCATGTTTGAGGTTGCTGTTACTTCCATAATCAGAGTATAGTATAACATCATTTCTATCAGATGATTGAACTTGATAACTTGAAATGCTTGCAGTTATCTATGTGGCGATGCAGTGATGAGCTGCGCATGCGAGCTGATGAGCTGCATCGCTCCACTAAGAAGGATGCCAAGCATTACATAGGTAGCTACCAGTGACATCATTGGGTCTTCTTAACGATGGCCTGTTGTTATTAGGCCATATTTTTGGCATTGTAATGATTTCTTCCTTCATTTCTGCTGTAGAGTTTTGGAAGAAGGTTCCTCCAAATCAGCCATATCGGGTGATACTGAGTGATGTCAGGGATAAACTCTACAACACTCGTGAACAGTCACGAGAGCTTTTATCCAGTGGACATTCTGATATTCCTGAGGAAGCTACATTGACAACTGTTGAGCAGGTTGAGAATTAATCAGTAATCTTCAGAAAATAATATTGATTTTTTGTTTTTCCTCAGTGGGTTCTGATCTGTAGATGCCATCTTTTGCAGCTGCTGGAGCCCTTGGAACTATGTTACAGATCACTCTGTGCTTGTGGTGACCGTGTAATTGCTGATGGAAGCCTTCTGGATTTCTTGCATCAAGTCTCCACCTTTGGACTCTCCCTTGTGAGGCTTGACATTAGGCAAGAATCAGATAGGCATACTGATGTACTTGATGCCATCACTACATACCTGGGGATAGGATCTTACCGCGAGTGGCCAGAAGAACGCCGCCAAGAATGGCTACTGTCTGAACTTAATGGCAAGCGCCCTTTGTTTGGCCCAGACCTTCCCAAGACTGAGGAGATTGCTGATGTTCTAGACACATTCCACGTTATCGCTGAGCTTCCTGCTGACAATTTTGGTGCTTATATCATTTCCATGGCAACAGCACCTTCGGATGTCCTTGCTGTTGAGCTCCTCCAACGTGAGTGTCATGTAAAGACACCACTTAGAGTAGTCCCACTGTTTGAGAAGTTGGCCGATCTTGAGTCTGCCCCGGCTGCATTGGCCAGACTGTTCTCAATAGATTGGTATAGACAGAGGATCAATGGCAAGCAGGAGGTCATGATTGGGTATTCAGACTCAGGCAAAGATGCGGGTCGCCTCTCAGCAGCTTGGCAGCTATACAAAGCTCAGGAGGAGCTCATCAAGGTTGCTAAGGACTTCGGTGTGAAGTTGACGATGTTCCATGGGCGTGGTGGGACTGTTGGAAGAGGTGGTGGTCCCACTCACCTTGCCATCTTGTCCCAGCCACCAGACACGATCCATGGATCACTCCGGTCACTGTCCAAGGTGAAGTCATTGAGCAGTCTTTTGGTGAGGAGCACTTGTGCTTTAGGACACTGCAACGCTTTCACGGCTGCTACCCTGGAGCATGGCATGCACCCACCAAATGCACAAGCCAGAATGGCGAGCCCTTCTTGATGAGATGGCAGTTGTGGCAACTGAGGAGTATCGGTCCATAGTCTTCAAAGAACCACGCTCAAGTCAGTATTTCCGCCTCGTGAGTCCTTGTTCTCATCCATTGTCATACTAAGTAACATAAGCTAAAAAAAATAAACTTTTCAAATAGGTCTGATCTGATAGTTAATATGAATGTAGCACAATGATTTACTGCAGAAACTATATCTTTTGCAAGCCTAACTAAAATGGTTACCAAGCATTGATTTGACCCCACATTTAGCTTAATATTTACTTTGTGATGTTTGTGTTGACAGGCAACACCTGAAACAGAGTATGGTAGGATGAACATAGGAAGCAGGCCATCCAAGAGAAAGCCGAGCGGAGGTATCGAGTCACTCCGAGCAATCCCATGGATCTTTGCTTGGACACAAACACGGTTCCACCTCCCGGTCTGGCTAGGATTTGGGGCCGCATTCAAGCATGTCCTCCAGAAGGATATCAGGAACCTCCACATGCTCCAGGAAATGTACAATGAGTGGCCGTTTTTCAGGGTCACTATTGATCTGGTGGAGATGGTGTTCGCCAAGGGTAATCCTGGCATCGCCGCACTGTATGACAAACTCCTCGTTTCAGAGGAACTGCAGCCATTGGGTGAGAAGCTGAGGGCCAACTATGAAGAAACCCAAAAGCTTCTACTTCAGGTCTGTTGGCCAAAAGACACATTGTTACATTTCTTGCACTTTGTTCAACTACCATTCTAGTAGATAGCTTTTTACAATACAATGGACTCTGTTTCGGTCTTCTCTCAGGTTGCTGGGCACAGGGATCTCCTGGAAGGTGACCCTTACCTGAAGCAGCGGCTCCGCCTCCGTGACGCGTACATCACCACCCTGAACGTGTGCCAGGCCTACACCCTGAAGAGGATCCGTGACCCCGACTACCATGTCGCACTGCGCCCCCACCTCTCCAAGGAGATCATGGACTCGACCAAGGCGGCTGCGGAGCTGGTGAAGCTGAACCCTGGCAGTGAGTACGCACCGGGGCTGGAGGACACCCTCATCCTGACCATGAAGGGCATAGCAGCCGGTCTCCAGAACACCGGTTAAAACACACAGGGAATTTTTTTTTTCCTCTCCTGATCATTGGCTCCAGGTCCTTTGTATTTTCGCAGATTTTAGCTGCATCTTCGGCCGTCTCTCTACACCCGTGAGGAAATAATGGCGATTTTCGCCAAAGTGGTGGTAAATAAAAGGGAGATGAGGATCATACTTGTTTTTTCTTATTAGACTGTTGTGTTGTAACTTTACTATGCGAGAATGGAGCATGGCTGCAGCCTAATTAAAGTGCCGTATCTGTTTTTCTTCAAGCATTTTGCAGGCAGGCTCTGAATTGTGGGAATTGTACTCATGTTCCCTTTGCAATCTGTTGCCTGCAGCTTACCTATGGAGTCATCAGAAGTGCACTATAATGCGCAGTCACTATCACACAGTTGAGTTAGAACCGTATATATAATTATATATAGCACATAAATGGGTAAAATAACTGCACAGCACATTTCAGAATCAGGGCATCTTTTCATGTTTGGTGATAATACTAAACACAGTCGATATACATTGATCAGGGATTTCTGATCTTTTCCATGAGTGCGATAATTTTAGTTTGGGAAGATAAACGTTGGTGGTATAACAAGTAACAACAAACAATAGAGATACTGTACCAATACAAATCGGTACAACGACCCCGGAACGTTGCTGCTCTTGCTGTTAGCAATCACACGGATCTTATACATAGTATAAGTCATTTTAACCTTTTTTTTAAGTAAAAGCATCTCGAGTTTGACCAAAATTATGAAGAGAATTACAAAAATTTATGACAGCGAATAGATATACTATGAAAATATAGCTAATAAAAAATCTAATGATACTTATTTGATATCACAAGTGTTATTATTTTATTGTATAAATTTGGTCAAATTTGAAATACTTTGACTCCCAAAAAAATTAAAATAACTAATAATTTGGGACTGAGGAAGTAAATTGGATGGCGTTTACAAGAAACTAGCTGAAGCTATACTTGCATCCAAACCAATCCAAGCATTTGTTCACCCATTTATCGTGTATAGCACTTGACATCTCGACATGGTAGCCGGCCGCGGCTGTTTTGATCCCGTTAAAATTAAAACTAGTATAGGAGTAAGTGGTTAAAACCTTTTATCTTAACATCTTTCAGTCCACCTGCCTCACCCATGTGATTAATAAAAAACATCAATAACCTTTACTTCTTTTTGCAAAAAAAAAAAAAAAAAATCATAATCTGAAACATTTTCAACTAAAACACAGCACGAACTTCAATCTCATGTTCAAACTCTATTCCCATCCACACATTGACACATGGAGTCGAGAAAAAGCCCTACCTCTCTTCCACGCCATGGGTCTAGCTAATAATGCCTAATCCAATTGAAGCAATGATACTAACGGGAACCAAGCGATCCATGTATATTATAACGGTAATGTTTACATCCGGGCGTCCGATCGACCGGATGCTCAGATTGGCGTGGGCCGTGACACTCTGAAACGGCCCAACAAATTTTCTCATGCACTCGTCTTCGTGTTTCTTTCGTTCATCTCCGCTTAGAAAAGTCGCTCTCCACTCGAAGCAGTGTCCACACCGTCGCAGCGTGGTCCACCGCGACCGCCTCACAGCGACATTCTCCACCACGCCCGCCCGACCGGCGACCTCATCCTCCTTCTCCACCGCATCCGAGCGCCGACAATCACCTTCCTCCCTCTCCACCGTGCTCACCGACCGTCATGCTGTCATCGGCCGCCGTGTGTGGCCAGGCAGCCAGGAGAGGGGGCCGTTGCTGGCCGGGCCCAAGCCAGGCGTATGCACAGTTGCCCGCTGCTAGGCCGTGCCACCATCCTCAGTCATTGGCTGGCCAGAACCAGTCGTTCCCTGCTCTGTTATGCGTCGTCCGAAGAGGAAGGGTGTAAAACGTATGTTGCAAGCGTATGTTTCATAGGTATGTTGCAAGGGTTTTATATGGATGTTGCAAAAGTAGATCGAGATGTTACATATGTTGCAATGGTTGTACACATATGTTGCAAGCTTTTGTTCCTAATGTTTTATCTGTTTTTCAGACGCATGTTGCAAGTGTTTTTTTGGATGTTGCATATGTTTCACACATATATTGCAAGTGTTTTTTATCTGGATGTTGCATATGTTTGCAATGGTTTCAAGTGTTTTTGCAAGTGTTTCAGACGCATGTTTTCTAAGTGTTTCATCTATCTTCAGACATATGTTGCAAGTGTTGCATCTGGATGTTTCAAAAGTAGATGGGGTGTTGCACATGTTGCAATGCGCGTGGGAAACGAAGGGGACGTGAGCGGTCCCCGCGCGCGGTCTAGTGGTGCACGTGGCATCCGGGCGATGTGGGCCCCGCGTAGGCGCGTGAATTGCAGGCGGGGGCGGGGGTGTGCTGGCGCGAGCATGGGCGTGGAGTGCAGGCGCACGCCGGAAACATAGTGCAGTTTAGGCGTCCAGACACGTGCATCCGTCTAGACGTCCGGGCGCTAGCACTATCATATTCTAAACAGATGAATGTTATATTTAATAAGTAATATTAATCCTATCCTAAAAAAAAGTAATATTAATCCTTGTGTCCAAAAACCGTGATGTTTTGTGATTTTGAGGACATATTAACGACCATGTACCACTATTTATTAATGATAAATCATGCTAATTAAGGAATAAGGTCATTGTTAAAACGAGTGCATAGAAACATGCAGACCGTAATCTTAAGCTGATACGGCATTAATTTATTGTCCAAGAGTTAAAAACATTAAGTTTTTTTTTCTTTTTGACAATTTTAATTTTGAATGCTAAAACATCAAGTATTTAAAATAACAATTATAATGCACTGATTCCTAATAAAAAAGTTATTTTGCTCTCGTAATTTGTACCCTTCTGAAAACAAACGACAAACGAAAATAAATTCCTCACGTGTCCTGCATCTATAAAAACCGCAAATGTCAGGGACCAGGCTGCACACCCCAAACCAAGCAAGCAAATGACCATTCTTCTCTCTTCTCCACCAGCGCCGCCCCCCAATCTTTCGCTACCCCCGCCGTGATCCCAAGGACCACCGAACCCTAGTCTGAACCCCTTCATCTGTTCCTCATGGCCAACAGCAACCTCCCCCGCCGCATCATCAAGGTGAGGAGCCATATCGCCCCATCGAAACTTCGCTTTTCTTCCATCTTTGTTTTTTTAATGCAAACATGGTGATTTTTGGTGGTTTGCTTCGCGCAGGAGACGCAGCGGCTGCTCAGCGAGCCAGGTGAGATGTTCTAACATGACAAGATGTTTTGATGCTTCTTTTATTTTGATTCCTTTCACCCTAGTAGGATTCAGAGTTACAGTAAGCTGATTATCCCCAAAAGGCCTCTACCTTTTGTTTTTCATTTATTTTAGCTAAAGAGATGCTAGAATGTCTAATTTTATCATGCATACGGTTAACTGTGCCAAGACTGTTTCCCTATTATGTCATTGATTGTTATTTTTTTTGCGAGTTTCTTGGATGGTGTGTTGATGTTTCCAGGGTTGTTGGCTTGCTGTTTTGCAGCTCCAGGAATCAGTGCCTCGCCATCAGAGGAGAACATGCGCTACTTCAATGTCATGATCCTTGGACCGTCGCAGTCACCATATGAGGGTGAGGAATCTTTTCCTCTTGTTCTTCTGTTCTGTGTTTTAATTACCTCACACATCTAGTATATGATAAATGGCTTTGGAAATGGTAGATGGAATTTAGGTTATTGGAAATTTTACTCCATTCCATATCATTCAGAAACTACAAATATTAGTCAAATACCATTAAGTCTCATTATCTCATTTCAATAACATTGAAGAAGTTACACTAGAGAGGGTCTGGGCGTCCACGTACAACTTTATTGACCCCTAGGGCGCCGATAAGGCATGTTGTATCGAACTTTTTCTCTACCTTAATACAAAGACGCACAAACCTTTTGCGTTTTCGAGAAAAAAAATAACATTGAAGAAGTGTTATTAAGATTTTTTTCACTGCCTAATTTTTACTGTTGCCTCCATTTTTATTTGGCACTTCTGTAATCTGATGATTTTTGGGAACATAAAAGTTTTGGAAAGCTGTGCATGCCTCCACTGGTCTCCTCTTCTCGGTTCTGTGGTTCTAGTCTCTTGCCTCATGGCACAAGGTGCCATTGCACTTGCACCTCCTTTCTATTTGCTTGCTCTATCAACACGAATGAGAACCTCTCCTTCATGGTTTCCCAACAATCATTCTCAGCTGGTGATCAGGGCTTCCAAGCCCTGCAGCTCAACCATGAAACCTCTTTATCAGCCAGTTTGTCCATGGTCTCCATGCCCCTGCTCCAAACCAGAGACATTTGTGGTTTCCATTTATCAATCTGTGGCATGGTCCTTCTTGGCAGTGGTTCTGGAACAGATTCACCAGAGGCCCATGCAGCCATGCTCCAGGTTTGACGGCAGTATTTATGCAGCTGGGTGCAGGTCAGCGAGAAACCAAGGGGTAGCAGTGCAGATGGAGTTGAGTGGCTTTGACTGGGCATGGAATGAAATGGCTATGGTTAATTGTGCAGAGCAGACAATGCAAGGACGATGTCTGGTGGTTTGGGTTGACTGGCTGATTGAAGAGGCATTGGTTAAATGGTTGATCAGGGGCCAACAGCGAACACTCACATTGAGCAAATTGGCATCGCTAGGATTTTTATCTTTTAACTGTACATATTTGGAAAGTGTTTGCTATTAGTTTCTCTAATTAAGAACCAAATTATCCTTGCGAATCCTGGTGAACAAGTCATCCTTGCTGGCTTTCCTTGTGTCGTGCATGTCTCCTTCGTTTCCCTGGATATTCTGATATGTTTACTCTGTCTCATGTGACTATTTCCTGCCACTAATGCATCCTTGCTGCCCTGTTTAAAGAATGCAAAACAAAGCACTGGTTTTTGTCATTTTTGTGCGTTCTAATATGGTCTCTATCTAATAGCTTTGATTGGACTAATTGTCAGGAGGAGTTTTCAAGCTCGAGTTATTCTTGCCTGAAGATTATCCAATGGCTCCACCAAAGGTTTTTCGTTACTACTCTACTCTTGACTAGGATTTCAATGCTATACTTCTATGGTTCTACAAATTGCTAATAAGTACTAAATAGTTCTGCTGCTGATATTTGTCAAGTTAAATGTGGGCTGAGTTGTAGAGTGCATCAAATTCATAAAGGTTACATATGTATTGCTGCTCAATGAGATTTAGATTTCAAGTTCACATTTAATTCATGGAGATCATCGTAATGTTTTTTTTTTTTTTTTTTTTTTTTTTTGAGCCCAGCCAAAAGAATCTTACAAATTTCAGTGATTTCAGGACACTTGTATATCATCATTCGTTTTACTGACTTAGATTTGTTCTCTACTTCTTTCATATATGTATTTTATATCTTAGTTAGATCGTTGAGGATATAAGATAATTTATACACTTGTGGTTTCTGAAGTCCTGATTCATTACTGATAACAGGTTCGTTTTCTCACAAAAATTTATCACCCTAACATTGACAAGGTAAGTTACCCAGTGCTTCCACTTATGGTATTAGGTAATACTATACTGCTTAATACTCACACTCATACAGCTTGGTAGGATATGCCTTGATATTTTGAAGGACAAGTGGAGTCCTGCCCTTCAGATTCGAACAGTTTTATTGAGGTCGGTATTTCTGTTTCACTGTTTTTCTATGTTGATTTCAGTCTGATTCATTTGGTGTTTTGTTTGCAAAGAGGTCATACTGATTTTTGAAAGTACAAACCGTGTAACAGTTCCACTAAACAAGCTATATGATTCCTGGAAGGGCTTTCTGATGCCCATGGCCATTATAAGTTTACAGCATTAGGAAACACTACATAGTGGCAAATGTGCAACTTCAGGGCTTGTCTGCACTTAGTCGTCGGCCACTAAAAGGCAGGAATGTGATATAAGATGCACTAATTAACCAAGCCTTATACTGCTTGCATTCATAAAGTGGACAGTGTGCACATTGGCATTCATAAAGTGGATGGTGTGCACATTGTACAGTGGAGGAGGCTGCACTTGTTGCCACTTGGCACTGCTGTATATTATTTGTCAGATCCACTGTTTTTTTTTTGAAAAGCACCACCTTGGGCGCGGCCTTCCTGGAGGCCAGCGTGGGGAGCCGGGGTTCGAACCCCAGACCGGCAGCTCCACCCTTGGAGACTTTGCCAGCTGCTCTAGGCACTCTTCCCGATCCACTGTTAGAATGGGGGAAACCTTTTACATGTTAGCAAATCAACCTATGACCACGAGTAGGGATCCACACAGCGCATGTGTCTGAGAGCTGCCAATGTTTACACTTTTACTGGAACTTTTTCTCCAGTCACAATCCGTTGTCATATGATATCTCAAAACCATAACACAAGTAGGGATATGCCTGCTTCACAGCCTTCACCTTCAGAGCTGCTGGTGTTTATGTTTAGCTTGAATTTTTTTTTTGCCAAAACAAGATCAGAGAGAACAATTAACTGGACTTGGGTAACTTAATCTTAGCTGACCAGCGCATTTCTTTTGCACTTGATGTTTCTGGTCTTAAGCATCCAGGCATTGCTTAGTGCTCCAAACCCTGATGACCCGCTTGCCGACAATGTGGCGAAGCACTGGAAGGCTAATGAAGCTGAAGCTGTAGAAACAGGTGAGGGAATAACCAATCTTGTTCAGGTTTTAGCTGCATAATCTGGATGAACTTTTTAGCTCATGGCATTCTTGAATGACACAGCCAAAGAGTGGACCCATGTATATGCAAGCGGAGCTTGATCTTTGCATAATGCATGCTTGCCTGGTAAGAAATTTCGTTCGGTGGAGCTGCGGAGGTGAACTTGACCGACAATTGGTTGGTGAAATTGGAAATTGAAAGGATTGAGGAGTGAACTGTGGATTTCCAAATATCCTTTGATGATGTGTGTCAAGAGTCTGATGTACATTACTCTAGTTGAGCTGTGATGATGAACCCTCATACATGTAAATTGTTTCTTTGGTACATCTGGTTCCTGAGAGACATCAGACATATATGATAATAAATATCCTGGAATGATGTGTGCCTGCCCGTATTTTTTGAATTACCTTCTGCATATTTTTTAACATCTAGAAATCTGAGGAAATTATATTTAATATGATATGCAACATTGTGGACTCCTAACTGATCGTTCTTGTCGCTGGAAACTTAGAACAAATTTGGCTTTCTGGAAAAATGGATTTGTTTCTTTTTGGAATTTATTTGTTTGCCAAAACAATTAGAAACTCATGGCTTTCTGTGCCTCTTAGTGCTGTAAAATCAGCAACAAGTTTGTGGATGTCTTCGATCCATGCCCGTGCAGCACGGTAGAAAGCCATATCTAATCCATCTAAGGATAGAATGGAATTTGTAAATTCATTAGTAATAGTAGCCTCACTGACGAAGTGGAGCTAATCATGCATTGGTCTATCTATAGATAAAGATGAAGAGAGGAAGTGAAGAGCTTTGAAAAATAATCTATGAACATATGTCTATTCCTGAGGATTAGATAGACTGTTGGCTGTCTGGAATCCTATTTTGTTTGCATCCTCCGTGTCCCATTTTAATAATCTAGGTTACAATGCATGAGAGGATTGTGTCCCCCAATAGTGATGAGAAGGCGACCAAGGACTTAGGATTAAAGGTGAACGATCTTTCAAGAGCCAAGTATCATCAAAGGGGACTTTTGTGTGTTTTTAGCTCGACCAAGTGCTCCACGAGTGTAGAGCTGCCATCTTTGTGAACAAATGGTCCAAGCTACTTCATGCAGCAAGTTTGACTCAAATACGATCAAGGGTTGAGAAGATAGAGTTAAAACATTTTTGATGCACGTGCAGATTGTCCGCAGGTGACGAAAATGAACTGGTGTTCATGTCCGGCCAGGGCTTTCAGTTGATGGTTTAAATGTAGGTGGACGGTCCGGCAAGGTGGACAAGATGGCGCTGACAATTGGGCTGCCGTCTGTTGGGGAACGCCCTTTAGGCTACACCTCACCCTCGCCTTGTCCTGGGCAGGACCCTCGCCTGCTTCTGGCCCCACAACACCCCCAGCCGCAAGTGTGCCTCGCCTAGGGCTTGAGCACCAGCATCGCCCTAGTGGGCGCGGGTATCGGGACACCTTCATCGACTTGCCCCGGCATTGCCTGGCGGCTGGCGTACGTCCCCGACAGGCGATACTTTGACGCCTGCTTCTGCAGGGCTGAGTACACCCCATGAGGCTGGCCCGGCTGACCGAGAACCCTCGTGACGTTTGTTCAAATTGCTGTTTGAAGTAAGATGGAGAATCTTGGTCCCCTCAAGCGGAGCTCCCGACATCGTTAGGAGAGTGGTTGGGGGCGAGGGGCCAAATGACCATAGTGTCCCCGCGTCAATGTAAGAAGTCTCCCGGCCAGTTTGGGGGCAACTGTCATTTCCTCTTGTCCTTAAGTATAGCTTATAAATACTCGGGAGATATACTGTAGATGATGAATTAATAACCAATTACTTTTGAATTAATTGTTGTCCCCGTTCCGCTTTGCGTAGCTTAACCCTCGCTCCCCCTTTACCTATGGGACACCCTTGGCCTCCTCCGCGCTAGTCCTTAGAGCGAGGGTAGGAGGCAAAGTGAAGCCCCCAGTTGGCGCCCACTGTGGGGACCCCATCGTACCACCTACCAAACTGAACATGGACGCAAACCCATAATCAGGGACCCTCCCCCTGCTGATGCTAACGCCAATTTAACTGCAGCTGCTAGAGCTCAGGCCAACCAGACCGCACCACCTCTACCTGGAGCAGCGCCGATGCCAGGAGGGGAGGACATGGATGCGGCTGTCCCAAACACGTCCATCATCGCTGCAGGACCTCCACTCAACGACGGATGACCACGAATGACCCGAAGGCATAGACGACCAAGAATGAGGGCGGCGCGACAGAGTTGAAGAGCAGGCCTCGCCACCCTTGATCAAATGTATGAAGAGATCAACCTGAAAAAGTGTTGGGTCGAGGCCCTGGAAAGGCGGGCCTGAGTTTAGACAATCTGACAGAAAGTGGTCAAAGCCCAAGAAGAGATGAGAAGGATGGATGAGTATCTCACCCGTTTTGAGGGTACTTGGGAACCCATCATCATCCCTGATCCCCAAATCAACCCACCACTACCCCCCCGCCGCCACAACCATACCCTCGCCTACACCAATTCTTTGCACCTGCCAACCCCCCGCCAAACCAGAGGAATCAACCTCACCAATGTCATACGACCCAAAGTCTCTGTTATCCTAGATACTCCAGGCCTAGAGGCGGCCACCCGCCTACAACCCTCGTAACCTCCCAAGGTATGATGGGAATGTCAATCCTCGTCAATTCATAATGAGTGATGAGGCAGCCGTTATGGCAATGAGGTCACGACAAGGCCACAATGGCCAAGTCATTTGTCATCATAGCCGGAGATATAGCATAGAGTTGGTACGCCAACCTCCAACTCGGCCGGATCACGCCCGGGAGACCTCCACGAACTTCAAAGGTGTCAACATAGCCTCCAATCACCCAATGGACATGTTCAACTGCAAACAGGGAGAAAGGGAACCCTTGCAGGGCTACTGGCTAAGGTTCATTTCGCTGAGGGCCTGCACTCCAAACATAACTGACAAGGCTGTCATCCTCGCAGCAGTAACACTACTACAGATTGATTTATCACTGTCGCCACTTTCACTGCCGTAGTGATAGAAGCAACGATGTGATACCTCCACCGTCGGTTGACCGATAGTGAGGCCTCCTAAGGGAGGAAACCGGTAGTTGAAACTACTATCACCGACGGGTTAACGGTAGATGCGGTAGTGGTATTGGAGTTGCATTTCCTCCGTCGCATGAAAAGCCGGTCCGACTGGGATACGCGTTTTGGCCGGCGGTCCAAAACTAGCGTTTGGTCAACCGGTGGTATAAATTTAGCGTGACTGTTGAATGCACTCAACTTCTAAGGCCGTCAAATCACCATTACTTCCGTCGCCTGAAGCCAAAGAGTCATACCCACTGCTCTACATATTCTTCAAGCCCGGTGCCCTCTGAAACCAACCCTCTTCTTCATCCATCATCCCCTTCTCTTTCAATCTGCAAAGAAAATGTTGGACAGCCCCATCAAGTTTCCAAGCAGTCTGTCGTCCAGCGAGGACGACTTGCCAGCCCACCAGTCCTCCGAGAAGGACGTCTCCTCTGACAATTGGAGGTCTTCTGATTATAGTATTCCATAGAGCTCCGAGAAGGAGGACCTAGACGAGGACGACAACGACGACAAAGACGACTCCAACGACTCTGACTCCGACTCTGACTTCGCCGCGCCTCGCCTCCTCCCAAGCGAGCGAGGTGATCATATGTTTAGATTAAAGTAGTTTATAGTTAGTATAAGTTGTTTTAATAGTTTAGGTTAGTTATTATGCTTCTGGACGAGTACAATCATATACTCATCCAAATTGTATCTATATGTTACATATATATAATGAATCAATGAAAAAATTATATTTGCGCAGATTTGATCTCTTCAATGCCACTTTTTTTTATATGAAATGCAAAGCAAGTTCTTTCCAATACTACTTCCAAAATATATAATGAATCAATGAAAAAAATTCTATTCACGCAGATTTGATCTCTTCAATGCCACCTTTTTTATATGAAATGAAAAACAAGTTATTTCCAATACTACTTCCAAAATGCCAGTGCACAGATTTGATCTTTCGACGAATGTTTTTTTGTTTTTATGTATATTTGTGAATGAAAAGGGAAAAACAGTCATGTACGGTTGCTGTTGTTTCCAGGAGAATCTAAAAGCAGTTTAACCGCTGACAATCACCGTATTATAGCGTTGGATTAGCGTGGTAATGGTCAGCTTAATACATACACTGTTTAACTTATCTCGTGCCATCCGTTCTCGTTGCCGGTCAATCTGGACCGTCCGTTTGGCAACAAACCTAGACGCGCCCGGCCTGTTCCCAAGTCCCCTCGGATCCTGTCAGCGCCTTGGCGGTGGTTCGACCAACTAAAAACCCCTAATATGAAACCATTAGTTCTCCCCACCCGTTGTTGCTTCATCTTCATTCTCCCCACCCGTTGCTTCATCTTCATTTTAACCTATCACCTGTACTTGCCCTGCCTCGAGCACCTTGCATTGTCGTTGTGGACCATGCCCTGTGAAGGTTAGATGGATTCGGTCACCCCCCTGCTTGCATTTGGTTCCAATTGGTTTAGGGTTCGGTATCAATTTTGTTCATATTATGAATTTCTTCATTGCAACAGATGTCTTACTTCGGAAGAAGCCATTTCAATGCGAGCAACCTTGCGTTTTGGCGGCTAGGGGTGGCACCAGGACCTCGGATGATGTTGTTTGCTACTTGGGGATGGAGCATTCACCCGGACCGATTGTTGATTGTTGAAGCCGCTGTTCATCACCTTTTTGGACCATAAAATTTGACAAGAATCGTTCAAGACCCTGTTTGTGGAGAGATTTTTGTGCTTTGTAGGACTGGACAGGAAGTAGACATACTTTATAGATACAATGTGTCCGTGGACGGAGATGCTGGCATCTTCGCTACGGTTCACTACCTCTGGCTTTCGAGACCGCATCAACCAATTGAGTACCTTAGCAACTGCCTACCCATCCAACATTAAGTCTTAGAATTTGTGAAACTTTTATGTTAATAAAGTTTATATATACTGATGAAGCCTCTGGATTAGTATGTACGAGTACTGCATAATCGTTGAACTATTACTTCGGTTGAACTGTTAATTGAATTAGTTGGTCTTGATTGTGGTCCACGTGTACACCTCTATGTAAGCATAGAGGATCCAAAATAGGCCTTCTTCTACAGGCGGATAGTACCCTGAACCACCGGTGACACAACATTTCATCTTGGTGGGAGTGCGAGGGTTTTCTAGGACGTTTTGGCACCTTGACGGGAGGCAAAATCGTAGACAATAAAAGGCCCGGGCTGACCTCTTCACTCAGAGTGTGCAACACTTTGAACCCTGACTGCTCCATGGCTGCATCTAGCTCCAACTCCTACTAGTGGTCGGCACCATCCCAGGGCGCCGTTGCGAGAAGAACACTAGCTTCCAGCAGAGGAGGCTACAACGGGAGGGGGCCGCCCATCCCGTGTTGTGTCGAGAACCACTCCTACGCATACCAGCCACCACTTTTGTGTCGTTGCGGCTCAAAGACGCCTCAGTGGATTTTGTGGAGTGATGGAAACCCAGGACGTCGGTACCACATATGCTACAGGGCAAATAATGTAACTCGATTTCTTTCTTGTTCATTCTATTTTCGCAATGCAAATGCTGAAATCCCGCTGTACTTATGGCAATTTGGTTTTTTCGTAGCCCGACTTAGATTGCGGGTTCTTTAAGTGGCACGATCCCCCATATGAAAAATTTCTAAGGACTTTGATTTTGGATTTACATAACAAGATTTGGGAGCCAAAGGCAGAGGCCAATGTTACAACAAATGAAGAACATCTACAGGAGGAGGAAGAGATTATGCCATAAATTGAAGAAATGGCTAGGGTTCCAACTAAGATGATGGAAGATTTCGTACCTTTGAGAAAGAAATGTGCTTCCTGTTCTTCTTTCAACTATTTTGTATTTACCTTAGTTCTTGGCATGTTCATTAGCAAGTTGTTTAGTTCACCGCAGTAGATTCAAGTTCCAATTTATGATGTATCGGACTAAAATCTATCACTTTTGTACAACTATTGTTAAACTAAATGCAAGGTGATTAACCAGGTGTTCAATTTATTGAACTGTAAATGATAGTAGATCCAAGTATCAATTGAGGTGTTGGAGGCATCCTACTTCCCTAGACACTGGGCTCTGGTACAGGGGCAACCAATTTATTGAACTATATATACACTCCTACGGTCCTACCACACCTTCCTCCCATCCATTCCCCACTCTGCTTCACCCTGCTAGCGTCGGACGAAAGGCAGCCTCTCACATGCTCACTGCTCCTTCACCTCCAACCTCGCCGGTGCACAAATCTTCAACGCTCCATCCCTACTTCTCTGCTCCATCCGAATCTAAGGTAACTACACTGGATCTGCTCCTCCTTCACCGGATTCTATATTCCTTTGTATTGCTCTCTCGTGCTCTCTGCTCCTTCACCTCCAACCTAGCTATAGTAATTTTGTTGGATTTGCAAATGAAAATGCATCTTCTCATTCTGGAGTTTGTGGCCTTGTATATCCGTGGAGTGTAGCTTGTGAGCCTTATTGTCCTTAGTATTGGTTCACCGAATCAGTGCTTTGTGAACAAAGTCGATGAGCTAAATGAAAGTGCACCAATGGATGTGGACAGGGTTGTAGTGGTCAAGGCTCGGGATGACATGGAGATTGACAATGATCCTGTGGAGGCCGACAATGATCTGTAGGATATTATGGAGATTCACAACAATCCCATGGAGGTCGACTAGGATCTACATGGAGAATGATTAATTATGCAACTAATGATGTACATATGAAGGCCTTTTAACTTTTGCATAGTGCCGGCCTAATTAGTATCTGCATTTTAGCTTCCGGCATGCTTGTTAGCTTGGTAGTGTCGACCTATTTATTCGGTATGAATGTATGGAACTCAAGTTGGATTCCTTTCAATCCAAGAGTACTGGCATTGTGCTTTCCTTATGTTTTGTAAGTGCGTAGTTTGGCTTTCTTTCAATGTAAATCTATGTGCCTTATTATTCACCATCGAACTCAAGTTAGCTTCCTTTCAATATGAGTATTGGAATTGTGCTTTTCTTAGTTTGCTTAGTGCGCAGTTTTGCTTTGTTTCAATGCCAAACATTAAGATTGTGTGGCTTAGTGTTCATCACCGTATCATACGATGGTAATAGGACCCAGCTGCCAGT